GGGGGCGGGTTTGCAAAAGCAGAGTCCTACTCTGAATTAAGGATTATGAGCTAAGGGATGAAAGTTTAATTGTCAGAGGGAGTACACAGTAAACATTTTTTTTCTGTAAAGTGGGTGGTAGGCCAAATAAGCTCTAGAACAGGAATCGGAAATATCTGGCCCATGGGCTGTGGAAGACCCGCCAAATTACCAATGCCAGCTACCATCACACGTCTCCCCAAAGCAAAGCCATTCCAGCCATCACATTTGGGATGACCTAATGAAATGTCTAATCAAATGTAGCCAGCTAATTTTTAAGTTGATTAATTTTGCATGGGCCTCGAATGATGCATACATATCCAAACGACCCTTTTGGCAGAAGAAAAAAAAAAGGTTTTCCTCCTGCCTGTTCGAGAGGCTGGAGTATTTTCATAGGCTTTTTGTATTTTCATAGGTTTTCCCCCAGTCCCTTGATGACTCGATGTTAACTTAGGCATGCATGTCCCTCCAGTTGGTGATTCATGTAGACAGTGTCAAGCCTGTAACTTGATTGTGTACACTTCCGACAGTTTGTGTTTCTCAATATGAGCAGTGAAAGTCATCACCTATGTCAGTTACTAAAGATGCATCACAGCTCGAGTGTTATTGCACTAAAAGGAGTAATGTGCACAACAATCCAATAGCTTTCTGAAATTACCACTTGGAATTGGAGGGCAGTTCTCTTAAGAACCGCTGGATGCAGGTTTCAAATGGGAAAACAGCACATGTTTCAAGAGAAAGGGCACTTATTAATATTAGTTCTCATGATCACTGAAGATACGCAAAGCATGATTAAGAAATCAGATGGTGCCCAGTAATCAGAAAGAATAGCATCTGGAATTTTAGAGGCTTTCTTAAAAACAAGCAGTCATCTGAGTGAGGTGTCTGCTAAGTCCACATACAAAGATCATACCAGCCTATGCGATCTAAGGATTGGAAACAGAATCCAAGATCAGGTGAAAGAAACATATTAGAACTTAAATTCTCAGAGGCCCTTGTGGAGTAGTGGGTTACACTTTGGGCTGCCAACCACAGAGTCAACAGTTTGAAACCACCTGCTGCCATAAATTCTGAGCACCTGATTTGCAAAAGGCTATGGGTGACTGAGAGCCTACAATACATTTGCAGAGATTAAGCTTTCATTAAATTCTCTTGGACCGTTGACCAGGGATGTGGATAGTTTCTTGCCCTCCAATAGAATGCATTGACGTGGATTACATGTACTGCAGATGTAATTAGGTTAAAATTTAACATATTACCATTTGTTTCCACTTTTGGCCTCTTTTTAATTGGTCCTAGTTTCTATTATTTTCTGCTTTCACTTGGATTGAGGTTTTTCTTTTTTATTTTGTTGCCGTTGTAGAGGATTTTTTTGTATGATTAAAAAAAAGAAATGAAAAACAAAACAAAAAGAAATCCAGTATAGGTAAATGTATAGATTAGACAATAAACTAGATTAATAGTTCTTAGGATTACAGCAGGGGAGGTTGGGGGTGATGGGGAGCTAATAACAATGAGTACAAGAATGAAGAAAAATGTTCTAAAACTGATTGTGGTGATGATTGTACAACTCTTTTCAGTATACTGAAACCGCTGAGTGGTATGGTGCATGAATTATATGTCAGTAAAACGTCTTTTTATCCAAGGGCACTCATTGCACTGCTAAGTGGTATCAGCCATCCTTTCATTTACATGAGGCTAACCAGCTCCTTTTTCTTCCTTTCTAGGTGATTGACATCTCCATGATCCTTGCAGAAGCCATCAGGAGAACTCACAATGGAGAATCTGTTTCCTACCTGTTCAGCCATGTCCCTTTGTAAAAGAGGCACTTCGGAGGCATTTTCCACATTACTAAACCCACCCCCACCCCTGGTGTTTCCCTTGGTATGTGATGGAGTTCCGCAGAAGACCCAGCATGCTCCAGTGTTGCTTTCTACATCCCACACCAGATAGATTAGCGTTTATCTTAATTTGGGGAGAGTCAGATTGAGATAGCTGGAATCTCAATCTACATTTTCTCCTGCTGGCTTCCAGGATTACTTGGGGAGCCTTGACGCATTTAACTACAGCTCAACTGCTGCAAGATTTCAGGGTGTTGTGTAGGGATGTTTGAAGGTGATGGGGGAAGTGTAGACTACTTTGCATGTGAATGCTTAAGGGTTTTCTTTGTTCAGAACAACTAGCAAAAAGCCAA